AAATATCCTTTAATAATTCATGTTTTTAAAAACTTTATTGTTCCATATAAAAAGTAGAACAGAATCCCGCCCACCCACCCCACCACCACTGAATTATAATCACTGGTAGAGTGGGGCCTCCTGTCAGACCTGTCCTCTCCTTCTGAGGACACGTCCATAGCATGGGGCCTCCTGTCAGACCTGTTCTCTCTGTCTGAGGACGCATCCATAGTGTCAGATGAACATGCTCCTGCTTGAATGTGCTACTCTGGGGTTATTTTTCACTGAACAGTTGTGGGGCCATCTTCACACTGTAGAGTACATAAATCTTCACTTTTAATGACTTCATGGTACTCCATTAGCTACTATCATCTGTTAATCAGCCCTGCCTGGGGACTGGCGTCTCCCTAGTGTTACAGCGAACCTGTTACACATACATCTTAGTGCACTTTTCTCGATGAAGAAAATTGTTGTGAAGACTGAAAATGTTAATGTTGAAACAAGGGCCTTTTTTTTTTTTTAATGTTTTTGATGTGTGCTGTTAAGGGGCTGTGTAGAAAGGTTGAGAAGTTGAGAAGCTAAGGGCGCATATGTTTCCTAGCCCCCGGACTGTTGGTGGCTTGTGTTTCTCTGTAACATTTGCCGTCTCGGCAGTGAAGGTCCACCTGGAGACAGCTGTGTCTGGAAGCTTGCACAGTCCCCTGGGTCCTGCCTGCTTCTCTCCCAAGAGCTCAGCCTCCTTCTCTTCAAACCCAAAAAGCTCCATGTGTGGATGAAGCACCTTGCAGCTGTTTTCTATCCAGAGAGCCCCTGGGAAGTGGTATCTTCCTGCTAGGACGGAGAGGATGCACTCTGGCCTGGTAAGCTGGCACACACCTACGATTGCAGTACCTGGAGTTTGAGGTTAGCCTGGGCTGCTTAAGTTCCAGCCAGCATGGGCCATAGAGCAAGACTGCTTCAAAAAAATTATTTTCTCCAGCTCTTTTTTGTAACTGCTAATATATATATATTTTTTTAATTGATTTCTCTTAATTTTGAGACATAATTTTTATGTTAGCATCTTAGGCTTACTTCTAAACCTTATGCCACTGTGAGGGCCTTTACTAACTACAGTGGGATTCTTTCCTTGTCCTCTTTGCTAATTTTAATTTCATCAGTATTCCCCACTGTCTCTTACTAGAACATGCATGTGTCGCCCCAGTTTCTCTTACTAGAACATGCATGTGTCTCCCCAGTGTCTCTTATTGGAACATGCGTGTGTCTGTCTGGCCAGGGACCAGGACATGCATGTGTCCCCAGTGTTGCTCGCTATTGCGTTTACCCCTACTCCATTCACTCAGATGTCTCAGATGAAACAGCTGGCCATAGTTACATGAAACTGTGGGAAGGCTCCCAAGTTTAACTTTGAAGGTGTCTAAGAAGGGAAATAGGCTTCTCAGTGCTGGATATTTTTTCACTGGTTCAACTAAAGGTGAAAAGCAAACCTGAATTTCCTGGCAAATCGGACGCTCTGCCCCGGGAAGAAGAGCAGGTTTCTTGTTCTGATTCCCCTCTGCCTCATTTCCGCCTCTGACAGGATCTGCTGGAGCTGCAGCACAGTCATCGCAACCTGGCAGCTGTTTCTTCTGTCAGCCTTGCAGATTGAGGAGTAGTTTCCCGGAGTCATTTAAAAATAAATTGGAAGTAATACCGTGCAAGTCTGAGGTGACAGGGACGTCTCTGTCACCCTATTTCCTGCTCCACGGCAGCAGCGCGGATGGCCTAGCTGGAGCTGGGGGAGGCATTTGAAGTCATGTGGAAGAGCAGTTTGGAGACCGAGGGTCTTGCTCAGCTTAAAGTGGGGGATAATGACTTGGAGTACTTTTTTAAGTATAGGGAGGGGGGAATCCGCTCTTTGAGTACATTTCCAAAATACTTCTTTAAAAAAAAAAAGTACCGTTTTCTTTTTATAAGTAAGATTGGGCCTGAGCGTGGGTTCTGGTCACTGAGCTCTCTGGGTTCACATGAGCACTTCTTTCTAAACACAGCACTGGATACAGAGTTGACACTGTCGCCTCCCTTACACTTCATGTGAAGGCCACCTCTTACAGATAGATTTCTGAAACATTACATATGTTGATAGATTTGTCTGTAATTATTAGCTTCTCAGTTTTATGCAGAAAATGAAGCATTCTCTCAAACTGAATTTTCCTAATTAAGAGATTTCCAGAATACTTTAAAAATGTGTGTGCGTACGTGCACGCGCATGTGTGTGTGTGTGTTTGCGCGCGTGCATGTGCGCACGAGTGCCCAAAGGTCAATGTTAGACATCTTCACTCCCCCCATCTCATTCAGCGTAAAGTTTACTAATTTGGCTAGACTGCCCAGGAAACCGCAGATATCCTGCCCAGGGACTTCAGGTGCACCCTGCTGCAGCAGCTTTCCCATGGGTGCTGCGACCACACTTAGGGCCTCATGCTTATGCAGGACATGCTCTACTGACTGGGCCGTTCCCTCAGCTCCTCCTTATTCATTTATTTGTATGCTAATCTTTATGATATTACACATGACTATAATCCCATACATGACTCTTCTAGTTTTAAGGGCAGCCTGGGCTATGTAAGGAGACCCTCTTTCAAAAACAAATAAACTTTTAATGTGCTGCATGTGTTTTCATTCTGTGAGTTGTGCTGAATATGACAACCTGTTCTTGATGGCTGATGTCAGTTGTTGTTCGCGCTTGTTGAAAGGTTCCTTCTTCTCTGGATTCTAGTCTGGCTCTTCCTGGCAGTTCTGTTCACGTCTGCCTTGGTGCAGCCGTACTGAACGCGCAGTGGTGCTCACAGCCCTCCTTTTGGCCCTCATCTTTTTGTGTCGGGTTCCAGCACTGGGTGACCTTGGACAACTGTGGGTGTCATATGTCTTTACTCCCCACTGAACTCATTTATTCCAAACCTGCACCCTGCGCATCAGTCACGCTCCCTCTGAATGCCAGCATCACCAAAGCTGCCCAGAAGGAAAGCCAGACTGCCTTCCATAATTACATCCCGCCATGTTTTCTCATTCTCCAGTATCTGTCCTCCACTCCCCGCCCCACACGGTAGCCACAAGGCTTCTGTGTTCTCCTTTGTGCTGCAGGATGCTCGTGCCTTCCACCTGCATCCGTCACCGCCACAGACCTGACCCAGCTGGTGTCATGGCCCCGGGCCTTTGCTGGCTGCCTTTTTCTACTGCAGCACGTACAGAAGTGCCCTGCTTACTCCAGCTCTGACATCCCCTCTTCAGATAGCCCTTACCCTCCTCAAGCTAGCAGCTCACTTGTCTGTGCCTCCCACAGAAATGCTTCCCAGGTGATGCTTCCCAGTTGCCTCCGGTTGATGTCTCCACTTCTCCCACCCTGCTCTCTTTCACCTCTTTTTAACTCTTTCCCCTCTCCACCCTTTTCCCTAAGAAATGTTTTCGTGATCCTGGGTACATAGGGATATAAAATAGTTACACAAACAAAACACTTACAGTCATAAATCCCTTTCCTTTTACTGGTTAATCTGAGTTGTTCTTTCACATTGAATCAGCAGTTATGAATATGATGGTGGGGCTGGAGAGATGGCTCAGAGGTTAAGAGCACTGACTGCTCTTCCAGAGGTCCTGAGTTCAATTCCCAGTAACCACAGGGTGGCTCACAACCATCTGTAATGAGATCTGGTGTCCTCTTCTGGCCTGCAGCATACATGCAGACAGAATATTATATATGTAATTAATAAATAAATCTTTTTAAAAATAAATATGATGATGCAAAAATGTGATTTGGAGAATTTATCAGAAGAGTGGCCAGTTCATTTTTTAGTGTTTAATTCTTAAAGAGAGTCCTCCTGGGTGCTTTTCTGGTGATCTTCTATGCCTGTGTTCCACATGGAAGGCTAAGACTTGTAAATACCCTCATATGAGCATCACCTTAATCTGTGAGCAGCACAATTCAGTTTTTAATTGTTTTTTAAAACTAGTTTTCATGTTACCCTCCTTGCTGTGTTCTACGGGGAGCACCCTCCTTGCTGTGTTCTATGGGGAGCACCCTCCTTGCTGTGTTCTATGGGGAGCACCCTCCTTGCTGTGTTCTACAGCGAGCACCTTCCTTGCTGTGTTCTATGGGGAGCACCCTCTTTGCTGTGTTCTACAGGGAGCACCTTCCTTGCTGTGTTCTATGGGGAGCACCCTCCTTGCTGTGTTCTATGGGGAGCACCCTCCTTGCTGTGTTCTACAGCGAGCGCCCTCCTTGCTGTGTTCTATGGGGAGCACCCACCTTGCTGTGCTCTACAGCAAGCGCCTCCTTGCGGGAACTGCACTGCAGCAGCCTCCAGGTCAGCTACAGCGCTGGCCTGGCCCTCTCAGCTTCTCTTTTCCTCACTGAGGATTTCCTCTGCTGGTTATGGTCACGAGTTCTCAACTTTGAAATAGTTTTAAAGGAGTGAAGTGCTCTCTGCTCCCACGCTTTGTTCTGCTGTGCTCCCAGCGCTGTGGGTGTTGCTGTTGCTCCAGTTTAATGTGGCGGAGGTTTGGGAAAGGCCTAGCTGAGGAAAGTAGCTAAGACATCCCTAACTAACCCTAGCTTCCTCTGGAATTTCTTCATTTAGTCTTCCAGACAGGCCCTAAGGAGCCTCACCTACCCACCTTATTAGCTTCTGCCCTGAGAATTCTAGCTCCCTGAGGACCTGGCCTGCTCTGCCCCTCACGGCCCTCACTGGGTCCCTGTCCCTGCACTCAGATATGCCCTAAAGGACTGGACTGTGCTGACAAAAAAGGGGCAGCTCCCTCTGGCACGTCCGTAGGCTTTTACACTTAACTGTTTGAAACACGGCCAATCATGGCTGCGGGGCACAGTGGTGCCACAGCATTTTAAAGACTCACTCTGCTTAGAGGGTCGACAGATCTGCTATAGGATGGCATTGACTAGACTCCTGAGAAAGGAGGGAAGGCAGAGGGCTAGCAGGGAGGTCCAGGTGGAGGGGCTATACAGTGGGGGGGGGGGGCAATTGTCACCAGTCTAGTTCTCAACCCCTGCGTCATGACTCCTTTGGGGGTCACATATCAGATATTTACATTAGGATTTATAGCTGTGGCAAAACTAGTTATAAAGTAGTGATGAAATAATTTTATGGTTGGGGGTCACCACAACATGAGGACCCATATTAAAAGGTCACAGGATGAGGAAGCTTGAGAACCTGCTATGGGATAACCCCTCTGTATGCTGTGAATATGTTTTATTAGCATCAGTTAATAAAGAAACTGCTTTGGCCTATAGCAAGGCAGGATAGAGCCAGGTGAGAAATTCAAACAGAGATACAGGGAGAAGGGCAGAGTCAGGGAGATGCCAAGAAGCCACCAGAGCAACAAGTTGTACTAGATCACAGGTAAAACCATGAACTACATGGCAATGCATAGATTAATAGGCATGGGTTAATTTGAAAGTAGGAGCTAGTTAATAATAAGCCTGAGCAATAGACCAAACAGTTTGTAACTAATATAAGTTTCTGTGTGATTATTTGGGACCGCATGACAGGAAATGAAAGCTCCATCTCCTTTACTGAACCCCTGCTCTAGATACATGCTGGTGGTCTTGCTTTTCAACTTTCCCTCTCCTAAGTGATGTAACCAAAAGCATTGAGGTAGCATCCTGCCTCAACTAATATTACATTACTTTTTTTTATTTTGTTTTGTTTTTTAAGACAGTTTCTCTGGGTAGCCCTGGCTGTCCTGGAACTAGCGTTGTAGACCAAGCTGGCCTCACACTGAAACGATTCACTTGCCTCTGCCTCCTGAGTGTTGGGATTAACGGTGTATACTGCCACCATCCAGCTTCATTTTTAATAGATAATTTGAATTGGGTCTTCAATTGAAAGAACAATGAATCACCTAAAATAGAAAGCCAATAGGAGCTATCTGTCTATATTTGGTTTTGAATATCTTTGAGTAGCCCTCCATCTTCTCTGGACATCATAACCATCTTGCCTGTCTTCATGCTTGCTGTCTTGAGACTTACTGTAAGTAAAGAGCTGCTTTGTTTGGGGCATTCTTTATTTTTGGAATGTTGTCATTTTCCCTCTCAAAATTGATTTAGTTGCAACTGAGGGGAAAGATGGAAGAGCCTGCAGTCATCAAGATTGTATTTCTGAAGAGGCTCAGTCTCTGGAAGGAAAATGGCTGTCAATAGAAGCTGTCCAGCTAAGAGTCACCATGTCCTTGAATCTCAGACTCAAGAGCTCTCGCCCTGGAGAACAACTTGCCTGACTGGTCAAGGGAATCATTACAGAAAGAAGGTGGACCAGTTGTCAGGCTAACATTCCCAGAGAGGAGTGGGGTAAAAGAAATCGCAGCAATCAGTGATAGTTTGTGGGTCCTCTAAAACAGTGGCCACCATTCTTTAATTAGTTTTTAATTTGACAGTTTGCTGCCATAAACCTGATTGCCAGCGTGTGGAGAATTCATCTGTCTGTTTTAGATTGATGCATCACAGTGGCTCTGCTTCCTCCAGGAAACCATCAACAAGAGGAAGTGCTCCGAGTGCTCCTCTGTTTGCTGGGCGTGTGCAGTTTGTTAGGTCTGTCATAAACTAACGCTTGCGTCTCCTCAGAGGTTTGAGATTAGTTCACAAGACTTCGGAAAAACACGGAGGGGATGAGATATGCTGGTGCCAGCTTGCAAAGTAATCGTGTTTCACTGCTTTAGTCAATAACACACACATCGGCTAAAGGTTAATCTGCTGTTCCAAGGTCATTCCAAAGACACCTTCATTTCAGTAGAGGACTGACTGTAAGGCCGTCTTTCTCCTAAAGAAACTGCAGGGCTTGGGGAAAACTTTTTGTTTTGGTTTTTGTTGTTTCATTTTTAATCCGTTCATTTACTTAAGTGAGTGTGTGTGCGCCTGAGTTTTATACTCGCCAAGTGGACGACCCCAGCCTGGGTCCCCTGCAGGAGCATTATGCTTTTACCCACTGAGTTCCTTTTGCTTTGTTTTTTAGTCTGGACTCGATCGCGAGCTCTCCTTTGGCCGGAGAAAGAGGAGGCACGCTCAGCCTCTCACTGCTGCCTTATCCAGGTGTGCACCACAGTTAGGATACGGGCAAAAATCCTTCCTAAGCAGAAGGACCTCCAGCTGAATACTCTAAACGAGGAACCTGTTCCTCCCGCCATGCTGCCTCTTGGTAGATAGCATGGCCACCTTTGTTGTGGCTCAAGGATCTATCTTCTCTCTTGTTGCCAGAACCGTTCTCATATACACACTGAGAATAGGAAACGATTAATTCCAGGGGTCAGGGTTGGGTTCTATATATCAATATTAGAGAGTAGGAGTTTGTAAAACTAACTCCAATATTCCTTGCTGCGGGCGAAACCCTTTATTAAACCTTGTTGCAGGCTTGCTGTTGCCGGAGCTGGAAGACCCAAACTGAGCTTAGCCCACGCGCCGCGCTGTTGGGTGGGGGCTGCGGGGGGGGGGGGCTGCGCAGCCGCAGTAGGAGGGTTCTGGGCCTGTACTACGGGGCAGCAACCGACCCTTCTGGCATCAACCGTCTTCCTCTCTCACCCGGTTCACTTCATCCACCTGAATGAGCAGCCATGGCCTGGGCTGCGGGCATCCTGCGAGCCAGCAAAAGAGTGAGTGCAGCTGGAGTGGATCTCAGGGACCTGAGCATAGCTCTGCGGCCCAGTCGGGTGCTGCGTGTGCCTCTCAGCCGGGCCTGGTGGAGCGTCACTCCCACGTCCACCATGTCGACCCTGAAGGGTGAACTTATCCAGCACTTCAGCTCCGAAGAGCCCATTCTCCACACCAAGGTTTCCATTATAGGAACTGGGTCAGTGGGCATGGCCTGTGCCTTCAGCATCATAGCGAAAGGCTTGACTGATGAGCTTGCCCTTGTTGACAGTAATGAAGAAAAAATGAAGGGTGAGACGATGGATCTCCAGCATGGCAGCGTCTTCATGAAAATGCCAAATATTGTTTGCAGTAAAGATTTCCATGTCACCGCCAACTCAGAGGTAGTGGTTATCACAGCAGGTGCACGCCAGGCGAAAGACGAAACGCGCCTGAATTTAGTGCAGCGGAACGTAGCCATCTTTAAGGTGATGATCGCCAGTATTGTCAAACACAGCCCCCACTGCAAATTGATTGTTGTTTCCAATCCAGTGGATATCTTAACGTACGTAACCTGGAAACTGAGCGGGTTTCCCAAAAACCGTATTATTGGAAGTGGCTGCAACCTAGATACTGCGCGCTTCCGTTACATGCTTGGCGAGAGGCTTGGGATCCACTCTGAAAGCTGCCACGGGTGGGTCCTTGGGGAGCATGGAGACTCAAGTGTCCCCGTGTGGAGTGGAGTGAACATCGCTGGGGTGCCTCTGAAAGAGCTGAATTCTGCCATAGGAACTAGCAAAGACCCCGAGCAGTGGGGAAATGTCCACAAAGAAGTGATTGCCAGTGCCTATAAGATTATCAAAATGAAAGGCTATACCTCCTGGGCCATTGGCCTGTCTGTGGCTGATATTGCAGAAAGTATTCTGAAGAATCTCAGGAAAATACATCCAGTCTCCACCAAAATTAAAGGTCTCTACGGAATAAAAGAAGAGGTGTTTCTCAGTGTGCCTTGTATCCTGGGAGAAAATGGCATCTCCGATATTATAAAGGTGAGGCTGAGCCCCACCGAGGAAGCCCAGATGGTGAAGAGTGCAGAAACACTTTGGGAAATTCAGAAGGGTATCAAGTTTTAAGCCAGCCCTGTAAAGATGCCGAAGACAACAGATGCAGGATATGCAGATGTGGCGTGAACTGGGGGTTCTGAAGGTTGGCGGTCTCTGGTTTGGTCTCCTGTTGTGTGGCATCCAGCTGCCAGGTTACTTTGCCTTTTCAGTTTCTGAGTGACTGCATTAAAGGTATTTTTGGTGTTTCAAGTACTGGTTCTTGCCTGTTGGTGTGGTGTTCAAGAAATTGATTCGTAAGAACACATACTGGTCCATTCTGTTGGTACATTTATATCCACTCTATGCCATTTTAAAAAGTAACTCATATGGGCTAGAGAGATGGCTTAGAGGTTAAGAGCACTAGCTGCTCTTCCAGAGGTCCTGGGTTCAATTTCCAGCACCCATATCATGGCTCATAACCATCTATAATGGGGGGTCTGATCCCCTCTTCGGGCCTAAAGGTGTACATGCAGATGGAACACCCATCTATAAATAAGTCTTAGAAACAAATTAACGCCTGCATTTAAAAATACAATTATGTAAAAATTTTTGTGATACATTTTGAGACTGCCTTGTCTTAGAATGACCTCCCTGAGCCATTAAGATATTATGAAGGGGACAGGAAGGGTGGCACCTGCTGCTCTTGCAAGGACTCAGGTTCAGTTCCCAGCACCCACATGGTACTCTACATACATTAGACAATATACTTTTACATATATTTGTAGAGGCATCACGAAATGTGGACTGCAGCCGCTTCAAGAGCAGGGGAGGGGGAGGGGAGAGCTGAGAGGGAGGAGAGGAGATGGGAAGGAAGCAGACTGAACATGGAAGCCTTGGTGGTCAGACTGTAGGCAGGACTGATTAGCAGAGCTTATACAGGAAACAGAAATGGAAAGGGCAAAAAAAAAAAAAACTCACAAAAAAGAAAAACTATTTCAAACTCAGCTTTTAGTGGCAACAACTACTTGCCTGTTAGAATTGATTCTGTAAGGATTTTTGCTATTAGAGAGAACCTGAATATTTTAGGCAAATTTTTAATATATAATGCATTAGACAAAATGGTTTTCAGTTTCTTCTTCCACAGCCCAGACGTGCCATGGTAGTGGGGGGCAGCACCCGCGTGCACATGGCTGCAGTGCAGATGTGCAGACGCAGCCATGCAGTCAGACCTGCCTCCCCAACTGCATGGCACACTTGACTGGTCGCTCATTGTTGAGGGGTAAATGATAAATACACCAGCCACACCGTTGGTGCTCTTGTTCCTGGCGTACTGGTTCCATCGCCCTGAGGAAGCTGCTGGAGTGGGCACGAGAGCATTATTAGAGGTGTAATCTTGGTTCTATTCTAACATCTAAAGTATCTGTCAGACCCCTTCTCTGAATGTCCGTATTTCCAATAATGGCTTCCAAGGACAGCAGTATTTCAGGACAAGGTTCTGGGGCCCGATACTCCAGGGAATGCCTTTTATGCCTTAATCCCTGCACAGAACACTCCCAGAAACAGCCTGTGGTGGCCCACAGACCATGCTTATAAGGGTGACCCTACAACCCATAGCATAAAAAATTCTCCCTGGCCAACAAGGGCAGAGCAGAGGAGATCCCAGAGTTTCACTTTGGAGTAATGTGACCAGCATGCTCACAGTCATCAGTTCTGGGGGCTGAGGGAAAGTTCCATGGCAGTAGCTGTGAATTTTCCTTAGTATATTTAGGTTCAGATTAAATTTAGTGATACTCACTCTTAAATCTTTTTCCCAAGGGCATCTTTAAATGGGAATAATTTATTGACCTTTGTATGTCTTCACTGATACATATTTGATAGATACTGTCCATATAAATAATACCATCATGGAGCCCCATTATTTGAAGCAACTTGAGTGTCTGTTTATTACATAAAGTGGACTCTGGGTTTCCATCCCCACAGTTGAAGGCACAGGGCCCAGCAGGGTCCTCTGTCCTGTGTCTTCAGTGTCCACATCTCAGTTGGAAGTCTTCTAGGAACTCACAACCTCAGGAACAAATAATAATACAGTCCTTGGGGCTTGAGAGACAGGCAATGAGGTCAGGAGTGGGGGATAGAGCAGTGTCCGGTGTCCGCACTCATTCTCTCTCTCTCTCTCTCTCTCTCTCTCTCTCTCTCTCTCTCTCTCTCTCTCACACACACACACACACACACACACACACACAAAGAGAGAGAGAGAGCTCCCGGCATCACCTGTGCCTCAGCTGACCACAGTTACCACTGATGAGGGACCGTGGAGAGCAATTGTGCTTGGTCTTCAGTGCTAGACAGTTGAACACAAGTTGTAAAATACATCAGCCAGAAAGGCAAGGAGCAGCATACTGCAAACCGTGGCCAGAGAGGCATTGGGTTTTCAAACCCAAACATCTCTGCGAAGTTCCTTTCATAGGTTGTGATTGGTGTTTTTGTCAAGCCACTCTTTATGTGAATCTTGGGTATTCAGCATCTGGGTCACCTCTACCACCATTTGCATATGGTAGTCACAGCATCTGTGACACAGAAGAGACCCCTCCCCTGTCTTAGTCCCTCTCCACAGATGTCACGGATGTAGCACTGTTGCTGGCACTCGCGGAGAGTCTCTCATGAAGGCTCATCATAATACAGTCCAGAGAAAATGGTAAGGAGAGGCAATGCCCATGCGTGTATTCAAGACTAGCTGAATACACCTATCTGGCTGGCAGGTGTCTGTGAGCAGTGTTTGTCACATTTGCCTAACACAAGATGGGACTGGGAAATGTGCTTTGGGGGCTCAGTGGCAGAGTGTTTGCCTAAGTATGCAAAGCTTGGTATGTGGATCTGGAGGACCCAGATGGTTGGCCTCCTACAGATTCCATAAATGGTGAGAATAGTCACACCAAATGGTCCATAACTATAAAACACACCATGATGTCCACATCCATGCGAGCTTTGTTTTTGGAATCCAGCACACACGTTTGGATGATGCTAAAGTGGCCTGGCCTCAGATTGAGTGCTCACTGTGAGGAGGGGGGAGGGGCTGTACATTGTGTGCACCGCCCAGCTTGTCTTCACAACTCTTCAGGCGAGTATACGCTGTCTCCTTTCTGCATATGTGGATGCTGGTGAGAAAACGACAGTGGCTGGGATTTGAACAGTGGGCTCTCCAACACCAGCATCCGTGTCGCCAAGTGTATGCTACGGAGGCTGTGTGCTAGCCTAGAATTTACAAAGACTGAAAACGATGTAAACCCTGAATTTGGCAAGAGGGTACAAATTTAACCTCCATTTGAAATAAATACGTATTATCAACTGCAAAAGAAAAAAGAAAAATTACCTGTATCTCCAGTAGCCTCCCTCAGAAATGATTGGTTGCTGCAGAGTCCTGGAAGCTTGTGAGCCAGCACAGCACCTGCATCCAAAGGGAGATGTGACTGGGTGTGGCTGGTGGGGTTGGCCTGGACCGTGTGTGGGGCAGGGTCAGATGCCCGGAGTGTGCACCCAGGGTCAGATGCACCGAGTGTGTACCCAGGGAGACTGCCCTCCCCCACAGCAGTGATGCCCTACACAGAGGTCTGCACACCCCTCCTTGACTCTGGCTTTAATCCCCTTTCACTGGTGAAATCTCAGTGTGGGTTTTTCATACTGGCACATGAGAATATTCTAATATATTTGTCATTAGTTTTTTTTCTCTCTCTCCAGCTCTAAACTTCTGACGTTGAATGGTCTGAGTATAATCATGTATTTAGATGGACAGAAACTGTATTGCCCGCTGCATCTCTATAAACGGAAGCCACCATGCGTCCCCTTGTAGATGCGCACTGTAGATTGTAGATGCGCATCCTGGGAGTCTGTTGAGTTACACATGTCGCCGTCTAGACCAGGAGTGAAACTGTGTTGTTTAGTTAGCGGGTTCACTCTTGGAAAAGCGGTGTTCTCTTTGGTGCTGAACACAGCACTCAGCTTCACTGCTGCTGTCTGCTCCGCAGTTGTGAGAACCGGGTGTTCCCCGCTCAGCAAGATGCTGCCTCTAAGCGCTTTATCAATCCCTCCCTCCTTCTGACATTTGATACTTTTTTCTTCTAGATGAAGGACTTTCGAAGTAAGATGCAATCCATATTTCCAACGATTCCCAAGAACTCCGAGTCAGCTGTTAAGTGGGAGGAAGTACTGGAGTCTAAGTGAGATGGGTGTGGACGGCTCCCTGAGAATCGCGGCAGGCACGGCAGCTTTGGAAACGCCCTATCGGAACAGGATTGGGTGACTTCTCTCTAAGAACACGTGCAGATGGCCGGCGAACCCACGGCCACAGCCATAGCCATCTGCCCATGGTACAGGGAAGGAATGTTTTCCTAAAGCTAAGACAACTATTTAATTACTGAGACATTCCCCTTGAGGAGGGGTCCCAGAGGAAATATTTCTGTTTAGAACAATAAACCATGTTTCATATTTGCAAAACCAGTAAGCTAGAAAATTTTTGTAAGGGCTGGAGAGCTGACTGTGATTAGAGCACACAGTGCTCCTGCAGAGGACCCCAGCGCATTTCCCCACCACCACTCTGGGTGACTCAAACCCACCTGAGCTGCAGCTCTAGGGCACCTAATGTCCTCTTCTGAATTCTGTGGGCACCTGACTTACCTGTGATCACACTCATACATGTACACAATTAAAAACTAAAGCTAAGGGGGCTGGAGAGATGGCTCAGTGGTTAAGAGCATTGCCTGCTCTTCCAAAGGTCCTGAGTTCAATTCCCAGCAACCACATGGTGGCTCACAACCATCTGTAATGAGGTCTGGTGCCCTCTTCTGGCCTGCAGGCATACACACAGACAGAATATTGTATACACAGACAGAATATACAATATTTAATATTGTATAAATAAATATTAAAAAATCACAGCTTCACAGAGTTAAACAAATGCAGCATAGACAAAAGCAACACATCCTTTAAAAAAAAAACTAAAGCTAAATATTTTTAGAAACTCAGTAGTTTGTGTGTGTACACCTATGCATATGTGTAACAATAGTAAAGAAGTCGTGGATTTAAAGCAAGCGAGGGTGGACAGTGAAGGAGGTGGAGTGGGGAGGGGGGCTGAAAATGATGCAAGCAGTTCCCATATGTGAAATTCTCAAAAAAAAAAAAAAAACACAACTTTTTTTTTTTAACAGAACTTGCCTCAAGTTTATTTGTAAAAACAGCATAAGGTCCTGAACATCTGTACACACTGTGTAGGTGTTCACACCAGTCCATCTGTCTTCACACTGGCAGACTGAGACCTTTTTTATGGGGCCTTCACAGGGGCCTGGGCACCTTTGGGAGCCTGAGCTGCAGCTGAGGCCTCTGCCTTGACTTGAACCTTGGGCTTTGTTTTTTGGAGCCTACGAGCCCTGGCCATGTAGCTTCTAATCTGCTTCCCAAGCTTGGGGTGAGCAATTAAAGCTAGACGGCTGAGTTTGCGGCTGGGGCCCTTTGGCACCTTGGGCTTCACCACCTGGGGCTTCACCAGGGCCTTGATGGCCTCCACACGTGCACGCATGGCCTTTGCATTATTTGCCTGCATCTTCTTCAGGCCTTTCTTGTTGTGCTTCTTGGTAAAGCGCATGTTCCTCAGGAACTTGGGGTCAACCCCCTTGAGAGATTCATATCTTTGTGACCGGGGTTTCTTGATGCCGTTTCTGTGCCATTTCCGGGACTGGTTGTGTGTGGTGTGGTTCTTGGACTTGGCCATGGCTGAACTGTAATCGGCAGCTCCTGAAGCGCCTGCAACTGGAAGAGAGAGAAAAAAAAAAACTTTTAATAAGAAAAAAGTCATGACAGACAGACTCCTAACAGCAGGACAGACCTCAGTGTATCTAATTAAATGAATTTTAAAAGCCTATCTTATCTCAGATGACTAAGAATTTGGGAAGTGTGTTCCTATTGACCAATCTCCAAGACAATGAACCCAGTACTGGAAATGGGTGCAGCTTGTCCTGAACACAGTGTGACTCAATTTGGTGTACACACGGCTGAGGGCCTCCCTTGAAGGACTTGTAGATCCTTGCACATGGGACAACACGCCAACAACAGAGGATGGTGACCCAGACAGGAACACTTGTGCAGAAGTGGTAATGGCAACATCACGGCTGTAGAATGCACTTTGTTGTAAAACTGGTTCTGAGTCCCTGTACCCTGACTGACGTCTGTAATGTCATCCCAATGGTGAAAGGAAATAGAGCAGAATTGCTACCTATCTGAAACCGTGGTAGCCAGAAAGTCACCTGGACACTGGGGCCAATTATTTTCCTTTTTTCTTTCTTTCTTTCTTTCCTTCTTTCTTTCTTTCTTTCTTTCTTTCTTTCTTTCTTTCTTTCCTTCTTTCTTTCTTTCTTTCTTAGATTTATTTATTTATTATGTATACAACATTCTGCCTTCATGTATGCCTGCAGCCAGAAGAGTAGCCACCATGTGGTTGCTGGGAATTGAACTCAGGACCTCTGGGAGAGCAGTCAGTGCTCTTAACCCCTGAGCCATCTCTCCAGCCTTTGATGCCTTCTCTTAATGAAGTTAATTCTTAAGAATCCAACCCCTTGTGTGCTTGCTCTGTGATCCCTTACAGAAAGCTGATGGGAAGTGATTGTGCACAGTTAAGGAGGAAAAACGCCAGTGTGTCAATATGTCTAGAGAAACCCTCTGGCTGAATGTCAGGAGTCGTAGTTCCTTTAGAATTACCTGGGTCCTAATTAGTCAGCAACCATGTTCCATAAAGTGCATTCAAAATCTGCTACAGTGAAACCTTTTAGTTCTAAAGGAACTCTTTAAACGAAATGTCAAGTGCATAATGTAACATTTTTCTCTAGACCACATTGCCCTGTTAAAATTGCTGTATTGTTAATTAAACAGGTGTAATCAGTATCTGAGATTCACATGTAACCTGCTAAAAATCCAAGAAAAGATTGTGAGCTTGATCAGCAAGTATGGAGTAGGAAAAAAAAAAAAATCCGTACCCATCTTCTAACCAGTCTTGGCTGGATGCAGAGAAGGAAAGTAGGCAGTTTGATGGGTGTGTGGAGTGGGCACTGCCTACAACCCCTCACGCAAAGACCTCCACTGGATAGGAGAAAATGAGACTTCCTGTATTCGCTGAAGGGATAAAAAGAGAAACCATTATTAACTGTGAGTCTCTGCAAGCCTTGTAGATGTGGCAGCGCCGGTCACGGGCTGTGGATGGCAGCCAGGCTGAGGCCAGAACTAGGGGCCACAAGGGACACACTGTTTCCACTGGCGCTGAAGGAACATGTCAGAGGGATAAAGGAATACGGAATACTTGCTTCTGCGGCATGCCGGTGCTAGAACCCTGTCCTTACACTTCACGTCCCCATAGGAATAACTTGGGTCACCTGCTGGCAGGGACAGCTTTCCCAGAAGAGGAAGGCATGGGCACCAGTTGCCTAATTTTACAAGCAAAAACTGGGGCAAAGGGGATGAAAACTCAGAACAGGCGAGCGATGTCACTGACATGTTTTCCACAGAACTCAGATGCCAGAGGATTTAGTCGCTTGTCTCTTTCTTTCCTACCAGAGGCGTATTGTTAAATTGGTTAATGGGAAGGAAAAATGTTTAAGAGATAATGTTATTCTTTATGTGAGGAGCCATCTGCGTACGCGTCCTGAATGTCCCCGGATACGGAAGAGAGGAAGTGTTGTGGGATTTCACGTCTGCCTTCTTTGCTGTCTTTATCTTGGGTAGAGTATGAAAAACATAATCACATTTATCTCCTGGAGCATAAAGGGTTTTAATCACCCTATTAACCAGGATGACATTTTTCACAGACTTAAAAAGGAATAGAGCAGACATTATCTCCCCATAAGCAATCCATTTCATGGAGACTGAGCACTGGAAACGCTTTAGAGGAGGTTAGCACAGCCATTTCCAGTTCCCATCTAAGCCAACATTAAGGAGGCTTTCGGTAAGATGTGGCTTCCGTTGCGTGCGTGTTAAGCTTTATTCTTAGAACTGTAAGCCCACAGCTGCTGGAGAAAGCCGCACTGAGAGAACACGGTGGACAGAGAGGAGCAGACCTCAGGATTCTTACCAGAAAACACCCATACCGAGAAGTTACCACGGCCTGCTATACAGTTGGCTCACCCAGAGCACTTCAGAGTAGAGACACACCCTGGGCAGGGAAGGTGTGTTGCAGGGCTCACCACTCAAGGTATTGAGCCTTTGACTAGAAGGAACACAGATTACAATAGAACGCAGAGCGAGCATCTGCCCTAAGCCCAGAAGAGCCGAGGTGAGTCATGATGACTTCTGTCGCCATCCTCATCCCAGCCCCAAGGCACTGAGGAAGGAGCTGATCCTGCTCAGCCAAAAGGAGGAGCCAAGCTTGTCGCACCACATGGGTCTGTGCGATCTCAAGCTCATTGTGGACCGAAGTCGCAAACTAATCATTGCAACTTCAGAGGGAAACAAAGAAATGAGGGGGGAGACGGGGACAAAGATAATTAAAATCCACTGAATGCAGCTATTTCACTTGGGGCAGAATTTAATCTCTCCTAGGTTTAATTCGGAAAGAAGATTGTTTATTTTCTCATTTTCATGTGTTTCTTTGAAACAGTGAGTGGGGTACAGTAAGAAAGAAAACTCTTCAAATACTTAAATTTCCCATGAGAGATGGTGTAATTCATATTTTAATAGTATTTTATCATGCTCAGTTGAGGCGTTTTTCCTTCCAGCCGAAAGTCTTTGAGTGGTGCAGCAACCATTGGGGTCTCTTGCTGTCCTTAGCACTGTCAAAGGCTGGGGCTTTGTGAACACCCAAGAGTAAAGCAAGCTCCCCTCACCACAGTGAGGTCAGAGAAAATTCCATCTGGTGGCAGATAACTCAGTTTGGGAGAAGCATATAGGATTAACAGTGACTTAGGACCTAAACTTATATTTTCTTATGTAAGCTGGATCAAGTCCTTTGCCGTGTTGCCTTTTAATGAGCCATGATCACATTCTAAAAAGAAACGATATCAAACAAACAAGCCCACATACATATACCAAAAAAACAAAAAACAAACAAACAAACAAAAAAACAGGCAAGTGAGGGCTGGCAGATTCGGCAGGTGAATTCACTTCCTGCCAAGCCTGATGACCTGAGTTCGAGCCTGCGGACCCACGCGTTGGAAGGGGAGAACAGATTCCCACACGTTGTCCTCTGAGCTCCACTGTGCTGTGTGGCACATGTAAGAAAGAGGGAGATGGATAACTGATGTGTAAATAGGCAGGTGACTGTCTAAATATGCTCACCGGCATAAGGGTAAACACTTGACAGAAAGGCCATCCTTGGCAGATTCTCCCAAGAAGCTGAGCCAGGCAGGCTGAACAAATGGTGTGTTTATAATACCTGTTACCTGCTCATCTGAAAAGCTACAGAAGAGACTCTTGGTGCTGCCCTTGCCGCCTCAGGCTGAGACCGTTTGTCTAGGCTTGCAGTCCATCAGGAGACCCTGGGCCAATCATCTCTAAGAGGTGTGAACTTCAGGGCTTTCGGTCTCGTCTCCAGCTCAAAGAACAAGCTGACAAAAGGGCTTGTATTGAGTTCTCACCAGTGGGTTGCAGAACGGCCCAGCACCGTGGCTCGCCCCTGTGTTCTGCCGACAAAGGGGACAGATTTATTTTACTGCTCTGAGAAATTCCATTTCTACTTGGAGCAGCATAGCAACCACCTCCTCTGGAAAACACAGGAAGGTCACCACGTTCCTTGGCCTTGGTGGCCAGAGCCCTGCAGAGATCCTCTGGAAGCTGTGACAGGTGACAGAGCCAAGAGCCTGGTGTAGCAGATTCCACAGAGGCTAAAGGGAGAGCCCCCACCAGAAGAGAGGGCCGCTTAGAGAAACCCTGGCTCTCAGCTTCCTGTGGGCAGCGCTGCTTCCCGTCCAGACTTTATTACAAATGACTGTGGTAAGGTATCTGAGAAACCACACTGTCGCACCGCCCAATCCTGGTTTTCTGAAACACAACCCTTGCTTGGAAGATCTGACTGGACGAGTCACACTGAGCCCCATCTGGGTTTGTCCAGAATTGGAGGGACAGAAAGCACATCGACTCACCGGCACGTGGCTCCACCAGACATGTCACTGACACTCTTTGCACCTGTGTTTTCCAAATGTCTCCCACACACGAGGTCATTCCCCTAGGAGTCATCAGAATTTAATGTATGAATTTGGAATTGTGATATCTTTTGTTGGTGGTTTGGTTTTTCAAGACAGGGTTCTCTGTGTACTTCTGACTGTCCTGGAACTCACTCCATAGACCAGGCTAGCCTTGAACTCACAGAGATCCTCCTGCCTCTGCCTCCCGAGTGCTGGGATTAAAGGTGTGTGCCACCCCCACTTGGCTGTAATGGCTAATCTTGATTGCCCAGTTGATTGAAGTGAGAAAACAACAGATGATGAAGCATGCCTCTGGGTGTATACACCAGGATATCTATGGGATGACTACAGATGTGGGCATACGCCAGGGTATCTGTGGGGATGACTACAGATGTGGGCATACGCCAGGGTATCTGTGGGGATGACTACAGATGTGGGTATACATCAGGGTATCTGCAGGATGACTACAGATGTGGGTATATGAGACTACAGATGTGGGTATATGCCAGGGTATCTGCAGGGATGACTACAGATGTGGGTATATGAGACTACAGATGTGGGTATATGCCAGGGTATCTGCAGGGATGACTACTAGATCAGGAAGGCTCTGGCATAATCTCCTGATAGACTCACAATAGTACCACAGTGCATGCGTGTGATGAAAGACAGGAGGTGGATCTGGGGTGTAGGGAGTAGAACAAAGTGGGTGGGTCCTTGGGGATATAGCAGCCCTAGCACTTGTTACCTTCCTGCTTCCTGGTTGTCACAATGCAGACTGTCGCACACCGCGGGTCCCGTCTGTGTTCTATGCGCTAGAACCCAGTTCGCGAGCTTCGGGCAAGGGGCTGGAGGTTGAGAATACACACTCAGAGACAAACCAACACACAGACCTTCAATCACTGGTACCAAAAAGCCCCTTTTTAATGGCACCATGGAGGCTTAAATACCTGCAGTCAGTGGCCAACAGGTGAAAATCCCATCCTCTGATCCTCTAGGCAAAGCACAGCTTTTAGTCACTTCAGCTAGAAGGCTCTAGACAGGGAAGAGCAGTTCAAGGCCAGGACTCAATTGGTCCCAACAGCAGACCACTCTTATCCCAACGTACACTACCATGACGGCTAAACCCTCTAAAACCATGAACCAAAATACATCCTTCCATAAGATGCTTCTGGTTTGCCGACAGCAACAGTGAGACTGACTAACACAGAAAGTAACAGTGTGTATATTCTGTGCAGGCGTAGGGTAGCCAAACTTCTCCGGGTTCTCAATATTGCCACGGGAGTGGGAGGTCAGGCTTGGGTTAAAAAGCCCAGGATCAGGGAGAACTCAGAGAAACACCACACACCCAGCAGGTAGGAGCGTCACCCTCTCGTTTGCTCAGGGTCAGGCCTAAGTCTGCTATAATCACCTGACAAATCAATTACATGGAAAGAAGGAACGCAGGGAAAAGAGAAGAAAGAGGGCAGAGGAAGGGAAGATGGGGCGGGGTCTTCATGTCTGTACTTAGGGTACAGCCGGGTCCAGGCAAATGTGAAATTTGCCTTTCTCAGCCTGGAAAATCTCAAGAAAACGAACTGCATCAAAATGTTGAAGCACTGGGTCCTGGGTCCTGGGTCCTGGGACTGGGATCTCTAACTCCAGCTTCAAACTGTCAAGCTGCTAAGGCATTCGCCAGCTTAGAAGAGGAAGGAACACGTTAGATGAAGATCTGACCGGTGTTCTTCCAAGTGACCTGGAGTCCCACCCAGGTGTGAGGCAGCCTTGCCCAGAACCATGTCCCTAGCAAACGGGCCTCCTTTTATTTCTAAAGCCACTCTGCCTCTCTGTAGTATTGACAGAACACGGAGCCTCACGTTCTTTGCTAATCTCCAGGCTGGAGGGGTCTGTTTTGTATCTGGACAGCCTTAGTTGAAGCTTCACCCCGGGAGTACCGAGGATCAAGAAGGGCACCCAGCAATGCCCTGGATGCAGAGCTATTCCTGAAAAAAGTTACGCAAACCAACCAGCCACTCGCTTCTCTTGAACCCACAGCGCCCCAGAAAGACCACGGATTCCATCCAGACTCTCCATTTTGCACCTTTGTGTAAACCTCCGCCTCCTACCTTACTTTTTTTCAAGGCATTAAATCATTCTCAGCTGAGCGCCATCACACACTGATTCCACGGCATGACAATCTCCCAGGTCAGCTGCTTTCCGGAGCTGTGTCTGCCAGGAC